TGGATTGAAGTATACATGATATCTATTGCTTTCGCGCTTTTTTACTCAGACTCAGCTTTGCTTTGCTTCTCATCGTTTGTAATTAGCAAAAGTACACTTAATTCTAAAGCATGGAGTTGAGTGGTTTCTTTCTTGATTATTAAACGAAGGAGCACCTGACACACTCTTTCTAGAGCCTCCATATCTTTTCTACATCGTGGCGACCAAAACTGAATGCAGGAGTCCAAGTGTGGTCTTACCAAGGCATTATGAAGTGGTATTAACACTTCATGTGATCTTGATTCTATCCCCTTTACACATCTTAAAATTGACAAGGTTGGGCAATACTGTGCTACACTAAAAGCAAGATACTATGAGTTCTACTCCTCCCTGAGCAGAGGTGTCCCTAGGGAGTGGGCGGCATACAAATCTTATTAAAGTTGCAAAGTTGGTATTCAGCCAGTTCAGACAGGTTCACCTGAACCGGTAGTGGAAATTGTGGGTGGGCCCGCCCTGGCTCTGCCACCCTGGCTCTGCCACCCTGGCTCTATGCCACCCTATTTAGGCACGTGTTTGAGGCCAGGCGCATACGTGGAAAATGCACACAGGGCAAATTGGTGGTAAGGAAATGTACAGCCCATCGCTGACTCCCTGAGGCATGGAAGTCAACTGGGGCCTTTGGACTAGTCACCCTCTCAACCTAACCCATCCTGCATTGTAGTTATTGAAAAAAACAAGAAGAGACAGCATTGTGTAGACTATCTTGAGTTGTACAAGATAAAACCAGGTTGCAAATCCAATACATAAAAGAGGAGGAAAGAAATGTACCATGGCACAAGAATCAGTTTGGTGTAATGGCTAAGGTGCTAGCTAGAAGCCAGGAGATTGCGAGTTCTAGATTTAGACGTGAAAACTGGCTGCGTGACTTTGAGCCAATCCTCAGGAGATTGTGAGCTCTACAGAGTTTATGCTTCAAAGCTGGCTGGGTAACCTTGGACCACTCACCCTTACAGATTATTCCAGATTAACTAAGTTTGAAGGGACCTTGTAGGTCATTTAATCCCTCTCCCCCCACAAGCAGGAGACCCTACACCATTTCTGACAGATGGCAGTCCAGTCTTTTTTCGCAAGCCTCCAGTGATGAAGGCAACTTTCAAAGGCAACTTCTGTTCCATTGGTTGATTGTTCTCACTGTCAGAAAGTTCCTCTTTGTTTCTAGGTTGAATCTCTCCTTGTTCAGTTTCCATCCATTATTCCTTGTCTGGCCTTTGGGTGCCTTGGAAAATAGCTTGACCCTCCCCTCCTCTCTGTGGCAGCCCCTCAAATATTATAACACTCACTCACTCCAACCCACCTCGCAGGGCTGTTGCTGTTGTTGAGAAAATATGAGGAGGGGGTATTAGGCAGGTTCACCACCTTGAGTTATTGATACAAATAATAAAGGGAGGATATAAACAAACAAATGATACTCACAGACGCCGCGGGGGCTGCAAACGCCAAGCTTAGCAGCATCAGCAAAGGAATCATTTCTTCATTGCTTTCCACGTAGGGCATGGAAAGGGCTCGGTCGTAACACTGGAAGCCCACCTTGGCTGGCCTGAAGAGGTCTGTCAGCTCCCTTTATTATTTG